TAAGAAGAACACACCTGGGAGAGTCTAAACTCACACCAGAACTTTTAAAATTGCTCCCACTGCCTCGGCTACTGCGCTTCATAGAAGCAACGGAGCTAGAGCTATGGAAGTAATACCATTTAGGGCACAATAGGATTGCGAAAGCAAACCGCAGTGCAGGGCTTTGAACCACCTAGCGGGGGAGTTTTAGTGGGTATACGTTAATAGACGGAGTCCCACACTACTCGGGGTCCCAAGATTAACCGAGTGTTCGTAAAGAATTTCTCCGCCGGCCAAAGAAAAAAAAATGGTACAAACTGATACTATAGTATAGTATAGTATACTATAGTATACCACTTAAATGTTTTCGCTTTGTGAACATGTCCATTTTAAAATTTGAGTAAATATATTACTCTTTTTTATATTTTTCAGATTTTAAATTTTAATGAATAATCTATGTTTAATGTTATCATATTAAATTTTTATTGTTTAACTTATATGTATTGTTAGTAGAGAATTTACGTTAAAAATTACATATTTTTATTTTATTTACTGCTTACAAAATATGTATATGAAAAAAAATATGACAAAATAATATTAATATTTTTTTAAAACTTATGTCATGTAATAAAGGACGTAGCGAAAGTTCCAATTATGAGGAGGTGAGAAATTCAGACTTTTTAGAAGATTTTTAAGATTGACTAAAAATTATATTTATAAAAACTATTTGCACTATAGTGCGAAAAGTTTTTTTAGAGTCGGCATTAGCTACGTCCCTGCATTTTTTTTATAATAATAAAATACTTAAAAATAGGTCCCAAACTAATTAACCAGTACTATTATTTAAATTAAAATGTTTTAAAGTAATTATTGTGATTAGGCAAAATAATATTTTACTCAAAACAAAATTAATACAAAATTATTTATTTTCTTCCTTATTTATAAATAACAATAAATTTTATTAAAACCCAAGTTTTGTCTTGTAATTAAAATTTTTTGGGGGAAATGTTATTTTTAAATTTCACCGTTTGGGTATAATTTTTTAATGTGGCGTAATTTAGGTGTAAGTATACGAGTAAAATGAAACATGAGAAAAATAATGAAAGGACTTTAACGTGATGACCAATGTTTACTTCGACCCAGGTCAGAATGACAAAAAAATGTTGTGATTTATAATTATGTGCATAAATAAATAAATAACACAACAAATTAAATTTATTTTTACTAAAAAATCGCTGAATTGCACAGCCGAAACCTAAAAACTAAAGTAATTCGAGCCCAAATTTTGTTATGTAGGTACCTACATTAAATTTTTCTAAAATAAGTTTTATTTAATTTAATAAAAACAATTTTTTTTAATTAAATAAAAACAATTTATTTTTACTTATTCCAATTTTAAATAGTTCGTGAAAAAATACTTACAAAATTTGCATAGTATTGACATCAATTGAATGAACTAATTATTCACGTTGTTAGGCATTAGTAATTGGCTGATTACAATATTCACTGTGGTTTGAACCAATAGGGTTTTAAATGGATAAAAAGTGAGGTTGAAACTTCTATCAGATGTCAGTTTTTTTTAATATATACGAGGGGCGACTATAATGATCGACTATAAAAATTGATGTTATAATAAGTTTTGTTATTAAAGAACAATACTTAATTGGAGTAGAAAAAGCATAGTATTACACTCAAGATACATCAAAAATGGATACTGATTAAGTAATTTGAAAAGTATTTCAAAAATATGGTTTGGGGTGACAAAAAAAAATATTGTGAAAGTTTGAGTCCATAATATTAATATTAAGAGGTCTATCATCGCAATTTTAATTTTTTTTTCCTCAGCGAGTTTTTGTCTCAGAACTCCCAAACCATTGAGTTAAACAAAATTGACTCAGACATTTTTTTAAAGAAATTGAATATTCTACAAAAATGGTTAAAATGAAATTTTCCGTCAGATGGACCGTTTCCCTAAAATCATGCCTTAAAAATTGGTATAGTTTTACATTTTGATCTTTTAACTTTGGAATTTTGTATTTCATGTAAAAATCAGTACCGAAAAAAAACCTATGAATATTCTTATAAGAGATTAAATGCTCTACAAAACATTTTTGGCTAAATTCACTCAATCAAAAGGTATTCAAGGTTAAAGTTGCAGTCAAAACGAAATTCTTGTTTTTTTTCCTCTGTAGATTTTTTTATGAGTATGAGTATGTGTATGGGAACGTATGGCAAGCCCCAGATATATTATCATCCACTGATCTCCCGGGGTTATATTACCCCCTTTCCGTTCTCCTGCGTATCCCGCCAAATCACAGCATTACCTGTGTTTGTTGGATCCGAAGTTTTTACGCCGGCTGGTAGATCCACCCTAGGAGTTCGTGGATGACAGTGTCAAAGGTTAAGGCAGCTCCCGGGATTTTTGTCAGCCGGGTCGGGCCATACGTCCAGTTTAGGAAGGGTTTTTGGAGGACATTGAACTGACCCAAAACTAAGTACAATCCGGAATCCTCCTCAACCTAGGCCTTAGTAGTATCCCCATTCAATTGGTATTCGTGAATGGGGGTGGGTATGTTAGTTATTTGCTTACTCCGGCTACCAACCTTGTATATTCTTTATTTATTTTATTGCTATATTAGTGTTCATACCGTTTTCATTTATTTATATCTTTGCCTTCTTACTTATTTTTTTTTTTCAAATTAATTTAAAAATAAAAATATTAATATACAAAATAGATAAAGCCGGCCCTGTGGTGTATCGCATCAATATTTGAAACCCGGCCCCTATGTCAGGCGTGCAACGCATGCCTCAATAGATGGCCTACCACTTCATTTTCACGTGGGGGCTTTGCCCATTTACTTTCTCCATCCTCCAAGCTTTGCTTGCGTGAACTTATGTGTATATTATATAATATATATAATACAATAATATAATATTGCGACGCACCCACTTGGTTCCCTTCTCACACGCACGCTGCCCTCTGCAATGGTCAATTGTTGCCCGGTTTCCTGTTAAATTAGTATCTATATAAATTCAATATAAATATCAATTAGTCAATACCAATACTAATACCTAATAATACAAATAATCAATACCAATATCAACCAATCAATCAATTAATCAATATTAACGTTAATGTCAGTATCAACCAACTAATCAATCAATATTAATACTAATATCAATATCTATAATGCCAATATCAACATCAACACCAATACCAACAATACACCATCAATACCAATACCAATACGATTATATCCATATCAATCAATCAATTAATTTATTGATTAATTAATTAATCCCTTTATGTAAATATCGATCTTCAAAATAGAGCCGGCCCTGTAGTGCATATAGTGGAATGCGGCCTTATGGCCTGCTTGGCTCTTGAGTTCTGTGCATTAGTTTGGCTTGATTTATGAGTGTGACCCTAAATTTATTTATGATAAATTTTTGTCTTCTTGCTTGAATTGGTTTATTTGCTTACGCCTTTTACGCTGGTTGTTTACGTTTGTCTACTATGAGAAAATTAGGTTGTTTATTTAACAGTTACGGAAATGTTCTTATTTTTTAAATTTAATTTTTAAGACGAATAGATTTCTTAGGTTTTTTTGCAACATTGTGAAGTGCTTATATAAACATTTAACGATTATACGGTAAGACATGCAATTAGAAGAATTACTTAGCTTGATTATTAGGCTATAAACCTGATGCTTTGTCTTTCGCGGGGTGGCCTTCTCCTGTAGGTTTTTGCATAGAAAAAGGATATTTTTGGAACGCTCCGATCCAGGTGCGCCGGTTGACTTATCGTTGCTGCCTCGCCTCAATTAGGTACTTATTCACTTGCACACTTTTACGGCGTTATCTCACAATTTTCGCACTTCTTGCACTTGTTTGTTTATTTATGTATTTATTTATTTATTATTTATTAACGATTACCGATATTTCCGGATACTTTGTTTCGTTTTTGGTACTTTACGTTTGTATCGTATACGCCACTTAGGAGGGATCTTGACGCATCCGACCTCTTCGAGCATCAAGACGGTAGATGTAGATTTTTTTATGGATGATAATTTGATTTTATCCTTTTTAAATGTGTATTATATAGCTAATTAACAATTTCCAATAAAAAAACAACATGATTGTTATTATTTAAACGATTAAATAGGTAACAGGGAAAATAATATTTTCTAAAGAAAATAACTTCTTAAAGCGAAAAAATTAGAATATGTTATTTTTTTTTTAATTTTCAGTAATTTTATTAATAACATAAAGATTATCATCGATATAAGAATTTAAGTTTTTAACTGACCCAAAAAAAAATCTAGAGCGGAAAAAACAAAAATTTCGTTTTGACTTAAAATTTAACCTTGAATAACTTTTGATGGAGTGAATTTAGCAAAAAATATTAGGAGACTTTTTTTGTAGAGCATTTAATTTTCCATAAGAATATATATCGGGTTTTTTTCCGGGTACCTACTATTTTTACATGAATTACAAAATGAAAATATCAAATTGTAAAACTATACCAATTTTTAAGGCATGATTGTAAGAAAACGGTTCATCTGACGGGAAATTCCAAAATATTTTTAAGTCAATTTTGTTAAACTCAAGGTTTGGGAGTTCTGAGACAAAAACTCGCGCAGGAAAAAAAATCTAAAATTGCGATGATAGAACTCTTAATATTAATATTATGGACTCAAACTTTTACCATAATATTTTTTGTCACCTCATACAATATTTTCGATATACTTTACAAAAAAAAAATAGTAGTTTTTTTGGCCCAGTCTAGTAAACAACCTTTCTAGAGATTTTATTGTTTGAAAATGAAATTAATTTAACCGGAACAAATTATAAAAATGTGGCAACGCAGCAGGATCTGGCCACGAAGGTATACCATTTAATTTGTGTAAAAACGGGCTCAGGGAGTGGTTAAATAAAAATCAATATTATTATTGATATTGTTATCAAAACAACACATATATATTAAATATTTTTATTGATAGTCTTTAGTTAGTAATTATCATTAAACACGTTAACATGGCGCCTAAATTGTACATGGTCCCACCCAGCCCTCCAGTGAGATCTGTCTTAATGACAGCTAAGGCTTTAGACTTGAATTTAGATTTAATACATGTTGATTTAAAAAAAAAGGAAAATATGAAACCAGAATTTTTAAAAGTAAGTTTTTTAAATTTTTTTGTTGGTATTTTTTGTATTAAAACCTGGCAATGCATTAATTACCGTTTTTGTTTCATAGCTACTTATTACTTTTGAAAATCTCATTTACAATTTTAGCTTAACCCCTCACACACGGTACCAGTTTTGGATGATGATGGTTTTATATTGGCAGACAGTCACGCTATAATAATATATTTAATTGAGAAATACGGAAAAGACAGCAATTTATACCCAAAGGACATCAAGAAGCGTGCCATCGTAAACCATAGACTTCATTTTGATAATGGAACTCTTTTTTCTAGATTGGTAGCCATGGTAGTAAGTGTCCAACAAAAAGTTTGAAATTAAATTGTATTAAATATAAACTGCGCACCACTCAATGTGTCGCGACCAAAAATTTCGTCCTTTTTCAAAACGACATAACTTTTTTGTTTCTTGAACGATTTTATTTTGGTTTGTGATGTCTGCTAGCCCCATTCTCTGGAAATTCATGCTATAGATATGAAGCTTAGGGTTCTTCAAGTAAATTTACTAACAGTGAAAAATTTCAATAACTTCATCCAAGCCCCGTTTGTAAAATAAATATTTTTTTCTCGTTTTTACTTTGAAATAATGTATTATGTCTTACCTTAAAACGTTTTTCAAACTTTTCGAATTGGAATCTTAGCAACAAAAATATGATTTTTTTTCAATGGAGTATCAAATGTATACATTTGATGCTTTTTTGTAGGCAATACACTCAGCCTTTTTAAGAACAAAAAGATAAGATGGTGAAAGATTGTTCCTTGAATAATTCTGAACATCAAACTTCCATTATTTTCAGAGGAACCTAAGCAAAGACTACTTTTTCAAAATTGAAAAACCTGAACCGATATTTACGTTCGTGACATGTTTTCTTCATAATTTTGATCTGATTGTGATTCAGTTGTCAAATTTAGGTTTCAGATAAAACCAAAATCACCAAGAATCAAAATTCGAAAACAATGCCTGGATGTTAAATGTCTCAATAAAATCTGATTGCTGGATTTTACTGACTTTTTACTGTGTTTTGCATTTTTAGTACGTTATTATCATGTCACTGAATGATCAAATCAAGGATCAAATAATGAAAATTAAATGCCAATAATTTGGTGTTGGTGGACGACAATGCCCCTCCGCATCGCGCTAATATCGTAAATGAGTATTTAAGGGACCATGATATTGAGAGAATGAATTGGCCACCTTTGTCTCCGGATATGAATCCTATTGAGCATGTGTGGAGCAGGATGAAACTGAAGATAAAAGAGAGGAAAGGACGCATGGAAAAGTTGGATGAATTGGTAAATTCGATTCAGGAAGAATGGGAAGCCATACCCCAGGAATTTCTAAGGAACTTGGTCTAGGGTATGCTCAGGAGGGTTAACGAATTATTACGGGTTAGGGGAGTTATTATTGTTATTGTTTGTTACATTTTTCTGTTGAATGTTGTAGTTTTTATTATGTTTTTATTATATCTTCGCATAAAATTTTCAAAAATGACCAAACAAATTGTGTATTTTACTTTATTACCAATTAGGTAGGTACTTATCAGTAATAAGTGCTAGTGCGCAATATAAATGTAATTTATGTAACATTATCCTAACCACTCAAACAAAAATGAATCCCCAAATTGCATTGGCAAAGGTGTGTTATTGAGACATTTAACAGCCGGGAATTGTTTTCGAATTTTGATTCTTGGTGATTTTGGTTTCATCTTAAACTTAAATTTGACAACTGAATCACATCAGGAGGTCAAAATTATAAAGCAAACACGAACGTAAATATCGGTTCAGGTTTTGTTTTTTCAAATTTTCTCCAAAATGACATTTTGAAAAAGTGGTCTTTGCTTAGGTTCCTTTGAAATTAATGGAAGTTTGTTGCTTGTCGCTAGTTCAGAATTATTCAAGGAACAATCTTCCACCAAGTATCTTTTTTATCTTAAAAAGGCTCAGTGTATTGCCTACAAAAAAGCATCAAATGTACTCTTTTGAAAAAAAATCATATTTTTGTTGCTAAGATTCCAATTCGAAAAATTTGAAAAACGTTTCAAGGTAAGACATAATACTTCATTATTTCAAAGTAAAAACGAGAAAAAAATATTTTTTTTACAAACCGGGCTTGGATGAAGTTATTGAAATTTTTCACCATTTTATATATCACCCTGTAGGAAATTTACTTGAAGAACCGTGAGCTTCATATCTATAATATGAATTTCCAGAGAATGGGGCTAGCAGACATCACAAACCAAAATAAAATCGTTCAAGAAACAAAAAAGTTATGTCGTTTTGAAAAAGGACGAAATTTTTGGTCGCGACACATTGACTGGTGCGCAGTTTAGTTGTTAAGTGTAAAAGCACTTAAATAACCACCACGGCAGCTTTTTTCCTAGTCATTAGAATGTAGCAGTTTGCACCATTCTGAAACTATTTTACTGAAGGAAAAATCGAACGTAACATTTCTAAAATCTCACTGCTAAGGGGATGATAATTCAATGTCTGTATTTACTTTATTTTAAATTCATTATCCATTTTTAGAAACCCCTTCTTTTCAACAACGAAAAATCCATTTCCCAAGAAAAAATTGATGGCGTTTTAGAGGCATACAAAATTTTGGAAACTTTTTTACAAAGTGCGCCGTGGATGGCTGGTCAAAAAATGACGGTGGCGGATTTAGCAATTCTTGCATCCGTTACAAGTTTGAATGCAGTGATTCCCATTAAAGAAAAGGAATGTCCAAAACTTGTTTCTTGGATTAAAAACATGGAAGCATTACCCTTCTACTCTGCTAACAAGGAAGGACTTAATATATTTGCTGTCGCCATAAAGCCATTTTTGGGATAATATTACAACCTACAATCTAAAATATTACCTTTTATAAAAATTAATATAGTTAGAATAAAAATATAACACATACAAAAAATCCTAGTTTCTTTTAGTTTTATGTTTTTAGTTTTAGTTTAAACTTATTATGGGTCAAAGAATTTCTAAGCAACATTCCCATTTTCTAAATATTACTGAATATAATGGTTTTAATTTTAAAGTACATTTTGTATTAAGAATCTTAATACAAAATATACATGTATTTTAAATTGAGATTAAAAATATTAACCTTTTATCGTATTTAGCTTAAAGAATTACATAACTGTGGGTTTGTTTTCAGATAATTATTTGGGAAAACATTACCTAATATTAAAACTGAGCTTTTTAAATTAATTTAACAATTTCTATAATATTAGTTATACAGGGTGTTTCTTCTCAAAATGGACAACCTAAAAGAGGTAAACCTTATCAAGACTAACACTTTTTTTAAATAAATATTTTTCATTTGAGCTTTTATTTTGAATAATTCCCTTTCTATATTTTTATTTGTTGATATGTTTGTAAAAAATGTTTAACACAAAAGTTGTAGATATTAAACCAATAATTCCAAAAAACTTTATTTTTTTTTTTAAATATTTACGGTTTTAAGCAATAACATTATGGTGACAGTCTTCTCTCTTTCTAATTTGTGAACGCATTTTTAATAAATACAATTGTACTTTTTGTTTAGATATTGTAATTCTAAATATATGTATTATTAATATTTAAATACATTTATTTGTTTTGCTGCGGAATTATGTGAGACAATTTTGGCGATTTTTCGACCCCCCTCCCCTTGGTGAGATGTCGTGAGATTTTGTTCGACCACTCCCCCTCCCTTAATCTCACGTGAGATTTTTTAAAATACATAGATTTAATGAATATTAGTTATATTTATTAAAAAAAACAATTTGCTTATATATTTTTTATATTTAAGACTAGTATTTAAGATTTCTAATATTATTAGTCAAACGTAGCATACAAGGTGAGAAATTTTCATTAACATTTTTTTTCTATCATTGCATAATTAAACAGCCCCCTGCAAGGCAAAATTTTTTGCTCAATTTTAAAAGGTGTCAGTGAGCATTCTAAGTTTTCCATTGAAATAACACGTAAAAAATCTTTTTTCATTAAAAAGACTATAACTTTTGAACCGTTTGAGATAAAAAATTTTACGTCGCGGATTCTTGTAGAGCATTTTTTTTAATTCAAAAATTCGTATGTTTGAAAGCTTTGAAAAGTGTAAAAAATCACTGCACTTTTCAAAGCTTTCAAACATAGGAATTTTTTAATTAAAAAAATAATCCTGGTATAGATTCTTTTGGAAATTTTATGCTCTACAAGAATCCGCGACGTAAAAAATTTTATCTCAAACGGTTTAATGAAAAAAGATTTTTTTACGTGTTATTTCAATGGAAAACTTAAAATGCTCACCGACACCTTTTAAAATTGAGCAAAAAATTTTGCTCGGTATGTAGGTTCATTTTAACCCATAAATCCGATAGGTTAGTTTTTTTGGCTCACCCTAATATATATATAAAATGAATTACTCAAAAATAACTAATTATAAGTCATATTTAACTAATTGTCATAGCGAAAAAGCAGTCACTAATAATTAGTCAAATTCTACTGAATGAAATAGTCAAATTAGTAGATTTAAATTTAAAAAAAAGTTTTGACCCAGCCGGGGATTGAACTCAGGGGTGTCACTTGTCCATCAGCCGCTCTTATAAAAATCAATTTTTTTGTCAATAAATATTGTTCATAATATTTTAAAGTTGAATATATTATTTGTGTTGCTGTTTTGAGCTAAACTTTTTGCATCTTTATTTGTTTTTATGGGTCATTTGAAGATATTGAAAGTTTTATTTTGTTGTAATAAGCATAGGTTTAACAGTCAGGTTCCAGCACTTGAGAAGAAACCACGCGAGAGCGAGAGCTCTTAAAACTAACAATAATTTTTAAAATGTGTAAACCAATTATAGTGAAACAAACAATTTTCATAGAGTGCAAATGGTGCAAACGGTCAATGAGGAGTGAAGTGTTAAGTGATGAATGAGTTAAGTGCACTTAACTCATTCATCACATGTCACTTGTCATTGGACGCTTTTCACTGGAGAAACAAAGGAGGTCAAACAAGAGGGGAGGTGGCCATCCGCAAAAAAATTGATAAGTAACCTTAAACATATGCATGACCTAACACATATTCTGCAAATTAAACACGACAGATATCTTTAAAACCCTAAGAAAGGCACACTGCGTAGGACAATAAATCTGTCAACAACAAATGCTTAAGGCAAACCCAAACGAGACCAATAATAAACACTGGACACACTGGACACACAGAATAAACTTAACATTAATCATTATAACCCTAAAATAGTAAAAAAGCATAATAACCAAACTCTACTGGATTTGTAAACATTAGATAAAAGAATAATTGCGCTTGTCATTTGTTTAACTAATAAATAAATGCAATACTAAATTTTGGAATTTAAGAAAAAAATACAAAATTCTACCACAAAACGTGCTTGGGCAACAAAATAACTAATAAAAAATTGTTAGAAATTTTGCACTACTGCGGCAATAAACAATTAAAAAAAAAACACCAAAAGCTACAAGTTACATATCCAGCTACTGAACTATCTATTGATGGTTTTCGGCAATAAGACTGAGGACACGGGCAATGACAATAACGAACAAGACGAAGACCTCGACTAGAAAACTACACCCCTGCAGCGAAATAACAACTCCCCAACTCCAAATAGTAATCCCAAATGTTTGGAGTAATATTAATCGACTGGTCTAGGGGGATTCCGCGTCGTACTTAGTTTTAAGTCGGCGTAATTATCCCCCAAAAACCAACAAACGTCTATCCTTCCCGTCCCTCCTCCTCTATACCCTACTGGGCGTATAGCATCGGCTCGGCGAACACGAGAATAGCTATTAAAACTATTCGCATGTCGCTCTAGAGCCCCAAATAGGGGACAGTACGGAACGCAATGGACATTCGCACCCAGCAAACCCGGGTGAAGCCGTGTAGTTGCTGGGGGCGAACAAAAATCGGCGTAAGTAAACATAGGCCTGTACGGGGTCCGGGAGTGATGAGGCAATGGGTCTGGTTATACGTTTCTTATACTCATACTCATACTCATAAGCATAGGTTTAAAAATATTCTGGCTCATTCTTTGTTTTTTGGTTGCTTTTGTATTCCGTTTCTCGTATGAGGGACCAAATGTAATTAGCCATCATGACTGCATCCCAGAAGCCGTGATACCGCCGCTTAATAGCCTCCAATTGCTGGTGAAAACGTTCTCCGTGCTCATCACTTATATTATATATTACTTATTAAATATAAAAAAAATATAAGCAAATTGTTTTTTTTTAATAAATATAATGGAACTAAATGTCGCCCAGATTGTCCGGGTTTTTTACGCACTCGAACTCTCTACTTCTTTTAATAATTTTACACTTTTTATTAACTAAATAAAACCATGATAAAAATACCCTGTTGAAAAATCAAAAAATCAAGATTAATAATAATGTTTTCGGTGAATAAAGCACGTAAAAAAAATTCCAAGCATGCACTTTAATTAGGTTTTCATTAAAGAAAAAAATAAAATAAAAATCGTCAAAAAGCTGATTTTTGGTCTTCCACTAAAAAATTTATATCTTTGCCATTTTTCTATGTATTTTTATCAACATTAGCTTTTTTTTTTTTTTAAAATGTCAGCTTGACGAAAAATAAAACTGGAGTTATCTGTTTGATTTAAACCTTTCCCATGACGATTTGAAAATTTTCGACCTCAATTTTTGCCATAAAAACGAATTTTTCAAGTTAAAATCGCTAGCGTCAAAATATCAAATATCTGTAAAAGAAAGTTTTAGAGGGCTCAAATACCTTCAATTTAAGGGCTTGTTTGACCAAATCGATCAATTAGATTTCAAGCTATACTCAAAAACGTCAAAACACGCCCGAAAATTGAAAAAAAAACAATTGAAAATTCATATTTTAAATACGCTTCCATAAAAAAAAATTGTGTGATTTTCGTGTTTAGTGGGTCAAAATACATGGGATAATTACAATGGGACATGGTGGGCAGAATTTTTTTTCGATTTTATAAACTAGTGGAATTAGAAAACAGATATATTTTAATTACCCCACTATTCGAAAAACACTAATAAACTTGTCAAAATATTGCACTGGGTGTTTTTTATACAGTGTAGAATCTACATCTAATCGAGACTAACACTTTTTTTAAATAAATATTTTTTATTTGAGCTTTTTAAATTGTCGACCTTCTTTGTTTTTACATATAAACCTTTTTATCTCCGTTGTTTATGGTCGTACCTAGTTAAAAAAAATTACAGTTTTTTGGAATTATCGGTTTAATATCTACAATTGTTGTGTTAAACATGTTTAACAAACTTATCAACCAAAAAAGAAAAAGAGGTTTATAATATAATAAAATATAATATAATAATTATTCAAAAACAAATGCTCAAATGAAAAATATTTATTTGAAAAAGTGTTAGTCTTGATTAGATCTACCTTAATTAGGTTGTCCATTTTAAGAAGAAACACCTGTCTAATTTTATAAAAATTGTTAAATTAATTTAAAAAGCTTAGTTTATTATTAGGTAATGTTTTCCAACATAATTACATAAAAACAAAATGGTTAGTATATAATTCTTATAAAAATTGTTAATTTTATTATTCAATAATAATAATATTGTGAACTTGGTTTTAATCTTACAAGTTATAAGCTGAATGATATGATAGAAGGTTAAGATTTATTATCTTAATTTAAAATACATGTATATTTTGTATTAAGAACAAACCCATATTTAGTAGTATTTAGAAAATAGGAATGTTACTAAGAAATTCGTCCACCCCATAATAAGTTTAAACTAAAAACATAGAACTAAAACTAAATGCCGTTTAAAAACTACGATTTTTAGTCTGTGTTATATTTTTATTGTAGGTATAATATTATTAAGTTTCATACATTTTAGGTTCTAGGTTCTCATATTATCCCAAAAATGACTTTATGGCGCCAGCAAAGATATTAAGTCCTTCCTTGTTAGCAGAGTAGCAAGGTAATGCTTCCATGTTTTTAATCCAAGAAACAAGTTTTGGACATTCCTTTTCTTTAATGGGAATCACTGCATTCAAACTTGTAACGGATGCAACAATTGCTAAATCCGCCACCGTCATTTTTTGACCAGCCATCCACGGCGCACTTTGTAAAAAAGTTTCCAAAATTTTGTATGCCTCTACAACGCCATCAATTTTTTCTTGGGGAATGGATTTTTCGTTGTTGTAAAAAAGGGGTTTCTAAAAATGGATAATAAATTAAAATAAAGTCCCCTTAGCAGTGGGATTTTACAAATTAATTTTTCTTCACTTAAATACTTTCAGGATGGTGCAAACTGCTACATTATAATAAGTTATAACTTATAGAGGCAGAAAGCTGCCGTGGTGGTTATTTATGTGCTTTTACACTTTACAACTATATTTAATACAATTTAATTTTAAAATTTGTGTTTGACACTTACTACCATGGCTGACAATCTAGAAAAAAGAGTTCCATTATCGAAATGAAGTCTGTGGTTTACGACCGCACGCTCCTTGATGTCCTTTGGGTATAAACTGCTATCTTTTCCGTATTTCTCAATTAAATATATTATTATAGCATGACTGTCTGCCAATATAAAACCATCATCATCCAAAACTGGTACCGTGTGTGAGGGGTTAAGCTAAAATTGTCAATTAAATGTTTTACATTTATTGTGATTTTCAAAACTATAGTTATTATAATAAGTACCTAGCAATGAAACAAGAAAACGGTAATTAATGCATTGCCAGGTTTAATTACAAAAATACCAAAAAAAATTGTAAAAAACTTACTTTTAAAAATTCTGGTTTCATATTTTCCTTTTTTAATAAATCAACATTTATTAAATCTAAATTCAAGTCTAAAGCCTTAGCAGTCAGTAAGACAGATCTCACTGGAGGGCTGGGTGGAATCATGTACAATTTAGGCGCCATGTTAACGTGTTTAATGATTATCACTAACTAAACACTTTTAATGAAAATTATTTAATATATATGTGTAGTCTTGATAAGGAAATAATTGTATTTGGCATGGGGGTCATCCATTTTTAATGTAAATAGTTAATCTGTGATTGATTCCATTAGATATATTAAAAAAAACAATTGTTATAATTGTTTACTTAATTTAACCCAGTTTTCTCGCAATTTTACACTGTTTCATTCGAAAATAAAAAATTACGTGATATTTGCCAAGACCACCCTCCCCCACGTGAGATTGGGTGGGGTTTGGCTCGACCCCCTTCCCCCCCTAAACACCTCACGTAATTAATGGATGCCCCCATGACAATGCATTCCTAAAAACTTACTTTATATACTTTCAAAATTTGAGCATTTAACTAGTACTAGTATAGTTACTCTATAGAGTCCAGTTTTTTACCAACCAAAGTATATTTACATTAATTTTTATATGCCAAATATTATAATAATTATAATAATAATATATTATAATAATACTAATAATGATAATAATAAAAAAATAATAATAATGATCTTTATAAAATATATTTAACCACTTTACATTTACCTAATAGTATATTATGTATCAAGTTTGATAAACGCCATTTTATACACGAATTTAATTTAGGCACGAGCGAGCTTGCGAGCGAGTGCTTAAGTTAATGAGTGTATAGAAAAGTTTATAAACGAGGTGCATACTATACTTTTTCTACGACAAATACTTATTATCATCTTAAAATGATTTAAATCAAAAATTTGTATAGAGCGCCATCTATGAAACTGTGAAATGTCACATTTTTACATTTTATAAACACAATTATAAAGGTAATAAATCGAAATATATCTTGAAAATTGACAGTTTTTCACAGTGAAAGTAAAGGAAATGTTTTATGAGGACTTTACAGTAGAGTCCGTGCCCGAATTTAAGTAATAGTTTACTGCCGGCGAAATTAAAAGGTCAGTACAATGTTCATATAAACTTTTAAAATATTGGCGTTGAGAAACTCTTTAATACTTTTGTATTTTTGTATTGAGATAATAAAATAATTTTCACATTTAGTATTATTTTACAAGAAAGGCACTTTATTTTAATGATTGTATGACATTTGACAACTGTCAACTAACTTAAAACTAACTTTAACCCGTGACTAAAAACCTGTTGCTAACTTCAGCAAGTGACTAAGGCGCCGTAAAGCCACAACTTGCCAATTTATATTTAAAAGGTCACTTAGTGTCATGGAAATATGTACGATAAAGGGCGATTTAAAGGTGGGAGTAGAAAAAATCATTTAAAACAACAACAATAAATAAGTATCTAAATAAGTTAACCCAAACATGATCCTTACGGCTCTCTTCCGCAGTCTAAAGATATTGATAGAGTTGCTAGGGCATGATAGTGTCCGGAAATTAAGCAGTCATCTGAGTAAATATAGGTTGTTTGATAGCACAGCCACACAAAAAAAAAAGTCAGATACTTTTTACGAGACATATGTATTTCTATGTATTTTGACTCGCTGAATCCGAATCCGAGGTCAAAATAGGACCTTTCACGATTGGTTTTCGACATAACCTCAAAAAACCGGTTTTTCAAGTATAGAATGGCGAAACAAACTTTCATTTTAGATTTCAAGCTGCTGAATTCATATATAGCATCAGTTTTATAATATAACTATAGAATCTAAATCATAACCTCAAAACGTAGTTGTTTGAGCGGTGCTCTGCAGGACTAAGTAAGATTTACTATCAAAAGTCAGTGGTATGCAGAACTATATAGAAACCTCCTTCAGTTAGAAGAAGACTAAATACTCGGGATTTGGAGCTAGATGCGCCCCATAATAAGATGCCATATCTAAGTGTTGACTTAACAAGTGCTAAATATGCTGTCCTTAAGTAAGATTTGGACAGAATATGAGCAAGATTTCGCAATAAAAATATATTAGCAGTTATTTTTTTAGCAAACAGCTTCAGCTTGGTTATGCCATAATAACTTAGAGTCTTTATGTAGGCCTAAAAACTTTATATGTTCGGTCAGTTCAAGATTTGTTTTGATATTTGGGATATTTTTTAAAGTGAATATTATATTGACCGTCTTTTCAACATTTAAGTTTAATTTGTTGGTGTTAAACCATTGCAGGGCTTTCGATTGTGTAGCGCAACTATTCTGATTTACAAGTTCTAATTTTTTACCTCTTACAGCAAATGAGGTGTCATCTGCAAACAAGGTTATATTGTTTAGTTAAGATAGATAGTTTGGCATATCATTAACGAATATCAGAAATAATGGAGGTCCCAGGATCGAACAGGTTTAGACTCAGAGCCATTGTGTATGACTATTTGCTGTCTTGAAGATAAGTATGAGCTTATCAATTTTACACTGTTGGGGTGAAAATTGTAGCAATATAATTTTCTAATTAGAATTTCGTGCGATACACAATCAAAAGCCTTACTCAGGTCTAAGAATGTGCCTATCAAATATTCGCTGGACTGGAAGCAGTTATTTACTTCGGAAATAAATGATAAAATGGCATCGTTTGTGGATAGGCCTTTACGAAAACCAAATTGTTACTAATAGTTTTGAAGACTTGTATATGTAAATACTTATTGCAACACTTGATAAGACGGTGCAGTTTTATGGTTGGTTACTAACCTATAATACCTAAAGGATTTAAAAATCATTGAAAAATACCAGAGACACCTTAAAATCCTTAAATCTTGTGTTTTTTGTTCCCTCTAGACAAAGCAAAATAAAGGTCTACCATACTTTTTAAAACATGCCTATTGCGTCGAATGCAATACTTTTATTTTAAGTAAAGTTAAAGTTTTCTCAACAAGTGTTGCAATAAGTATTTATACAATATCTGCAAGTCTTTAAAACTATTAGTGACATCTTTTAATGTAAATACAACTCTTTAGGTTTTTGCAACATACGATAATTGCCAAAACTCTTTAAGTGTATTATAATATTTAACTTTTCTCTATAAAAGCTTTACTTTTTCCCATAAACCACAATCATAATAATCATGATAAACAAATACCTACACTATAGTATGTACATTGGGTGAATAAATTATTAGAGCCTCAATACAAAATTGGAATTTTTGGTTTTGTAAAAAAAACTTAACCAGTTTGTGATAACTTTTATTTGCAAAATTAAAAATTGTTAAATATTTTTTTAAGGTCTAATATGCTTAAGGAGAAACCAAAAAGCAAAATAAAGGTAAAAATATTTTAGAAGTGCACCTACACAGAAAAAAAGGAATAGTTCATTTAACTATATTAATTTAGTTGACCCATAAGTATTTATTTAAATCAACTGTGGGAAGGTTAATATAAACAAAGATTAGTTTGAAGATACTAAACCAGGTAGTTATTTTTTTTTTTTTTTTTAATTGGTTAAATTAACCCAGAAAACTTTAGTGAAACCAACCCGCTGTATGGTTCAGTTTACTAAATATGTTGTTTGTAAAATAAGAGTTACTTCAACCTAAAACACTCTGTTAAAACGATTAAAACAATTTGCCGTGCATTCTGGTTGCATAGTGTGTACCGATCGCTGCACGTGATGTTCTTAAATCTCGCCTCTGTTGACTTACATAAAGAGTATATAAGCTCAGGTAGTCCTTTGCTTTGGTGTGACACTACAAGTTGTTCGATACTAAAGAGACCTGAAATAGGTGGAAACAGCTGTTAAATTTACACTATTTTAGTATTTGAATTTTCACTGGACCAACGAACCATATTTAACACCATTTTGGTTTGTATCGATATAGACCATGCATGGTGTTAATTTGGTGTTAAAATGGTCATGAAATTTTGAACAGTGCACTGCAGTGTACTGGCACATTCCATAAAAATGCGAACATGATGAACTTAAGTTATTACAAATGAATTTAAGTTATTTATTTGAGTATGAGTATGAGTATGGGAACGTATGGCAGGCCCCAGATATATTGTCATCCTCTAATCTCCCGGGGCTATTTACCCCCTTTCCGTTCTCCTGCGTATCCCGCCAAATCACAGCATTACCTGTGTTTGTTGGATCCGAAGTTTTACGCCGGCTGGTAGTTCCACCCTAGGAGGTCGTGGATGACAGTGTCAAAGGTTAAGGCCGCTCCCGGGATTTTTGTCAGCCGGGTCGGGCCATACGTCCAGTTTAGGAAGGGTTTTTGGAGGACATTGAACTGACCCAAAACTAAGTACAATCCGGAATCCTCCTCAACCTAGGCCTTAGTAGTAACCCCATTCAATTGGTATTCGTGAATGGGGGTGGGTATGTTAGTTCTTTGCTTACTCCGGCTATCAACCTTGTATACTCTTTATTTATTTTATTGCTAACTTAGTGTTTATACCGTTTTCATTTAATTTATATCTTTGCATTCTTACTTTTTTTCCAAATTTAATTTAAAAATATAAATATTAATATACAAAATCGATAAAGCCGTCCCTGTAGTGTATGTGGTGGAATGCCACCATATGGTCTGCATTGGCTATTGGTCGTTCTTATTTCTTCTGTGCTGTTCTTGTATTTTTGAGCCGGGGTGTTAGTACGCTGCTAGAACCTGTCCTTGTTGGTGAACTTTAATTTTGTTGTTAAATTAGTGTTTATACCGTTTATTATTATTTAATTTGTGTCTTTGCGTTCTTACTTTTTTCCAAATTTAATTTAAAACTAAATTAATACAAAATAAGCCGGCCCTGTGGTGCATCGCATTAAAATCTGAAATACGGTCCCAGTGTCAGGCGTGTAACGCATAGATTAGATAAAGTGTAACGTATGCTTCAATAGATGGTTTATTTACGTTATTTGCGTGGGCGCTTTGTTTATTTACCTTCGCCTTCCTTCAAGCTTTGCCTTGTGGCTGAGCTGCAAGTTGCGTATATTATACAATATATATAATACAATAATATAATATTGCGACGTTCCTGCTTGATCCCTTTTCACACACGTACGCTGTTTTCGGCAATGGTTAATTGTTGCCAGGTTTTTTTTTTACAGATTTGCGTATTAGGTCATGCAATAATACTTATCAGAGTCTGCTGGTGATGATGAGGATCCCTTTCGCTCTTTGTTAGACGTTTTTTCTTTAAATAGGTGATTCCTTGACCTGTCCCCTGTCACTTTATTACTTCGTGTCCGCACGAACCTCACTCCTATGTTCACCGTTGAGAGATTGCCTTTTGAGGAATTATTTAATGTTTCTATTAACCCCTCGAAGAACAGGTACCCTGATTTCACCTGTACAGGTATGTATACATACTATAGTAACCCAAATAGTAACACTGTTTCGCACCGTACTTTACTCGACTACACTGAATATAATAGTTATGTTTCTTTAAGAATTTTATTGTGGATCGGCACTGAGCGCTCGAACTACACATCCACTCGCTTCGCCGGTAACGAATGCATTTAAGTTATTTATTTGTTTAACAAATTAAATTTAAGAACTGTCAATTTGGCAGTCCTATATTTTGAACATTGCTATTTATTAAGCTTAAAAGCTTAATGTAATCCAAGTAACCAACTTTTTCTTGTTTATTTTAAAATCAATTGTATGAAAAACTTTAATATTTTTATAAATTTCTGCATGTTTAACATGTATCTATTTTTGTTATTTTATATGAAACAATATTGTTAAATATTTTAAGTATATATAAAATATAGAGATGGGAATCGGAAAGTTTCCATTTTAAGGAAACTTTCCGTTTTGGAAAGTTTCCAGTTGGGAATTTATTTTCATTTTGTAAGTTTCTTTTAAGCTACCGGAAACATTCCTTGGAAACATTCCTTGGAAACTTTCCTTGTTTTTTTCATTTAAATGTCAATTGTTTAACCGCTGATTTTCGTTAAGGCCATGATACAAGGCCAAGAAACTTTGAATAAGAATTTAATGTGTGTAAAGCAGAAGAAGAAGTATAAATAATGTAAGTTCACAAAACTAGTTTTGTGTGTAAGTTATGTTACATAACCTCAATGAAGCCGGATTATTCGAATAATAATATTCAGCATCATCACAAAAAACTTTAAAAAAAAAAGGTAAACAAAATAAAAATAATAAACAAAGTTAAAATCATTCTTACATTTTTGTTGTTTATTTATAGGCATAGCACAATGCCAAGAGAAAAACCTAGTGTTTGGAATTATTTTTTACTTTACTTTTTACTTTTCAATATTCCTATATATTAGTTACTTTGTCCCTTTTAATTTTTTTTACGTAATATCTAGGATTTACTGGCAGTGAATTTCTAATAGTAAACATTTTATTTTTATTTTGTAGGTTTCAGTATACAATATTCCAAAGTAAAAGATACTAAAAATAGTATTGCAGTTACATTCTTATAAACATTTTTTTATTTTTTTTCTTAATAAAATTTTACAAAAAGTTAATGTGTTATATATTTTTGCAAATCCCTGGCATAAAAAAAAATATTTTCACAAAAAAATTTTTTTTTTGAAACTTTCGGAAAATTTCGGGAATTTTCGATGGAAAGTTTCCGGGAATTTTCGTCAAATGGGAATTTTCCCATCTCTAATAAAATATATTGGCATTGTTTAAGGATATTGGCTAGTAAATAAACTCTAGGTATTTTAAAGCATTTTGCACAGCAAAAAATACTGCAGTATGATACTATAAATACCATAAATAATTTAACTAGGCATTTGAATATTTAATTTGCAGTTAGGAGTAATTATAATTATTTAGACAAAAGGATAGAAAACAAATTCCAATAACGTTCCAAAAATAAATCGGCTTAATAACTTGGAATCGTTAAAAAGGTCTCTCCATTCACATTTTGGGCAACATTTTTAATACTTGTGTACTTAAAAAAAACACAAAACAAAATTTCAATAGCTTTACCATATATGTGTTTAAATCTTTTTATAATTTTATCATAATGCTTAAATTATATTTTTTTATATAAAAGTCCTTGAATTTTATTTAAATCATAGTAAAAACATCAATTATGTTATAAAGCCGACCCTGCCTACTTTTATATTAGATAAACTATGAGTTTTGCAATCCAAAAGAATTTAGTATGAAAAATCGTTGTAGGTAGGTACGCGTTAACATGTCTCCAAAGTTATACATGATCAAAGCCAGTCCTCCAGCGAGGGCTGTGTTTTTAACAGCCAAAGCTTTAAACTTGGATTTGGATCTGATTAATGTTGATTTATTAACCAAGGAACAGTTGAAACCAGAATTTTTAAATGTAAGTTAATTGGAATATTATTTTGACTTGTTTGGAATTTTTACCAATAATTTTTTAACCTTGCCTACATACTTGTATTTTAACAAAAAATATTATTTATATTATACGATTTCCAAATATTGAGTCTTTTTGTATTACCTACAGTGTCACATCATCACAAAAAACTTTTAAAAAAAAAGGTAAACAAAATAAAAATAATAAACAAAGTTAAAATCATTCTTACATTTTTGTTGTTTATTTATAGGCATAGCACAATGCCAAGAGAAAAACCTAGTGTTTGGAATTATTTTTTACTTTACTTTTTACTTTTCAATATTCCTATATATTAGTTACTTTGTCCCTTTTAATTTTTTTTACGTAATATCTAGGATTTACTGGCAGTGAATTTCTAATAGTAAACATTTTATTTTTATTTTGTAGGTTTCAGTATACAATATTCCAAAGTAAAAGATACTAAAAATAGTATTGCAGTTACATTCTTATAAACATTTTTTTATTTTTTTTCTTAACAAAATTTGACAAAAAGTTAATGTGTTATATATTTTTGCAAATCCCTGGCATAAAAAAAATATTTTCGCAAAAAAAATTTTTTTTTGAAACTTTCGGAAAATTTCGGGAATTTTCGATGGAAAGTTTCCGGGAATTTTCGTCAAATGGGAATTTTCCCATCTCTAATAAAATATATTGGCATTGTTTAAGGATATTGGCTAGTAAATAAACTCTAGGTATTTTAAAGCATTTTGCACAGCAAAAAATACTGCAGTATGATACTATAAATACCATAAATAATTTAACTAGGCATTTGAATATTTAATTTGCAGTTAGGAGTAATTATAATTATTTAGACAAAAGGATAGAAAACAAATTCCAATAACGTTCCAAAAATAAATCGGCTTAATAACTTGGAATCGTTAAAAAGGTCTCTCCATTCACATTTTGGGCAACATTTTTAATACTTGTGTACTTAAAAAAAACACAAAACAAAATTTCAATAGCTTTACCATATCGTCGCCTTCAGGAGAAAATCACGTAACTCCACATTTTCATTAAAATTGTATTTTAGTGGCATCTGTTAGATAAAACTGTAACTAATTTATATGCAAGTTACAGAAGTCCTAAAATAAACCGTTAATTTTAAATTTAGAAAAATAAATATACGTATCTCCAATCGTGGAGGAGCGTCCAGGGAATAATGCCTAACTCCAATATACAAATCAGTGCCATTGACAAGTATAAGTTATTGCCTAGTTATTTTTTCTGTATGTAAGTATGAAAGATTGTATAGTGTGTAAAGTTAAGGTACCATGAATAATTTAAGGTTACTTTTATTAACATAAAGTACATATTGGAGATACGTAATTTTCCATTAAACAATTTTTTGGCGGTAATGTGGAGATACACCAATGCACCTTTAATATGTTTTTCTTTCCTCCTGTAAAATTTTACAACATGGAGTTAAGCAATTTTCTCCTGAAGGCGACGATATATGTGTTTAAATCTTTTTATAATTTTATCATAATGCTTAAATTATATTTTTTTATATAAAAGTCCTTGAATTTTATTTAAATCATAGTAAAAACATCAATTATGTTATAAAGCCGACCCTGCCTACTTTTATATTAGATAAACTATGAGTTTTGCAATCAGCGTTGCCAACTTAGCGACTTTGTCGCTAGATGTAGCGTTTTGGGGTAGCCATTTGAGACATTTTTTTATGATTTGCGACGTGTCTCAAACCTAGCGTTTTTCACATTGTGTTGGCGACATTTTTGGAGACATTTTAACATTGATAATGAAATTTGTTTTTAAACAAATCAACAAAATAATTTCTAGTTTAAAAAATTTCAAATTAAAATTTGTTACGTTGGCATGGCCAACTTGGCAACGACGCATCCGTACGTCATCCGTCAAATGTCAAAAACTGAAAAAATAGCCGGGCAATTGTCAAATCCCATTATTTATTTATTCTTTTATAATCTGTGTTATGGAAAATGTTGGCACTTTGCAGGCTTATATTAATGACGATGCAAAATCGACTGAATTTCTTAAAAATTTCGAGGAAAATTTATTAATAAATTATTTACCTTAATAATTATTTATTTTTATATATTTTATTTATTTTAGCATGACTTGATTTTTTAATGTTTTATGTTGTTATTTAAATAAAATATTTGTTAACAATTATAATTATTAATTATTTTTGTGTAATGATAAGATAATGCCATTTTCTAGTGTCCTTTACTACAAGTTGTAGTCTACAACCACGTTAAAATTCTTTCTTTTTGAAAAATCAATTCTGTTTAAAATTTTGCAACCACTTTAAACTTTTTTTTCTCTTTTTTTTTAATTTGCGACATCTGGCGATTTTTAAGTGCCAAATAATTTAGCGATTTCTGGCGACTTTTGAAGAGCTTGATTGAGACTTTTCACAATAGACTGTTGGCTACACTGTTTGCAATCCAAAAGAATTTAGTATGAAAAATCGTTGTAGGTAGGTACGCGTTAACATGTCTCCAAAGTTATACATGATCAAAGCCAGTCCTCCAGCGAGGGCTGTGTTTTTAACAGCCAAAGCTTTAAACTTGGATTTGGATCTGATTAATGTTGATTTATTAACCAAGGAACAGTTGAAACCAGAATTTTTAAATGTAAGTTAATTGGAATATTATTTTGACTTGTTTGGAATTTTTACCAATAATTTTTTAACCTTGCCTACATACTTGTATTTTAACAAAAAATATTATTTATATTATACGATTTCCAAATATTGAGTCTTTTTGTATTACCTACAGTGTGTTTTAATATATTTAAACATTTTTTTTTAATATCCACTAAAATAAAAAAGACTAATTAGCCAAAATTACATTATTTAGAGTATTTTTTTTAAGATTGCCAATTGAATATTTTTTTTCTTGATAATGCAAACATTTATTCTTTATGGTTAAACTTGATTTTCTTTGTTTCTTTTCATCACATACATTTCATAGTATTTTAAAATAATTTGACTTATTTTTTTCTTAATATATTTTATACAAAGCAAGATTAACAGTCGAAAATTTATTAATTTTAATATTAAATTATATAATAACAGTGTATCTAATAAATACCATCAAAAATAATAAATAATAGTTTTCACCAAGGTCAAAATAAAACGAACACACAAAACATAATAAACAATTATACAATGTCGAAAATTCTTTAATTTTATATAGGCAACGAGTAAGAGAGAGAAGAATGTATTGTGAATATTTGTGTAATCGCTTTGTCCATTTATTTATTGCTTGTTGGCCATAACGAAATTTTTGACACTGTATTTGTGTAAGTATTTATTAATAATATGTGAGGAGCAACTTTTTAAATCGAGAAAAAGTCAAAAACGTGTTTGTACAATTTATACATAGAAACAGGTTTTTGGCTTCTTCCCGATAATTTATATATTGCGATTTGAAAATTTGCTTAATTACTACCTCCTAATTACTTAGCGAAATGCACGACCATGATAGTTATCAATAAAAAAATCCTTTGTTTACAATGTAACTAGCAGTGGCGATTACATTTTTTTATGTATTTGTATACCATAATATAAGCACAGTATACTGTATCGTATAATACGATAGGCATTTACGTTTCGTATTGTCTCTATGGCAACAGTACAATACGCAATTATAATTTATAATTCAAATTTTGACAAATAGAAAATAGTACATAGAACTCATGCCATAAGGCATTTGACGACTTATGACATTAGTTCTCCTATAATATATATGACCTATATACTATTATAGAACAATTATATAACATAACGTTAAAAACGATCCAAAATCCTTTTGGTCATTTGTTCAAAGTAAGAAAGGGTGTACTAGAATACCTAATAGTATGCATTATAATGGAAACTCAACCACCAATCCTGATGATATTGTGAATATATTTGCTACCTACTTTTCAAGTGTATATCAATTACCAAATTTAAATAATACTGACGAACAGTTTTGTTCAATAAATAATATTAAAGTGGATCCAATAACTGAAACTGAAATTTTAAATGCAGTAAAAAACCTAAGCAACAAGTTTACTTTCGGAGTTGATTATATTCCAAGCTTCATTGCTAAGGATTGCAGCGTTGGACTATTGAAACCGTTACTGTATCTATTTAACCTAATTTTACGTACCGGTAAATTTCCCAAAATTTGGAAAACTTCAAAAATTGTTCCGGTCTTGAAATCCGGTGATTCTTCTAACGTTGAAAACTATAGGCCAATTGCTATACTTTGTAATTTTGCAAAATTGTTCGAGAGTATTATTTATATAAAAATATACTTCCAGTTAAGTCATATAATATCAAATCAACAACATGGTTTTGTTGAAAAACGGTCAACGGTCACCAATTTAACAATGTTTACACAGTTTGCCAGTAATGTGGTTGATAATCATGGACAAGTGGATGTAATCTATACAGATTTCCAGAAAGCCTTTGACCAAATAGATCATAATAGACTTAAGATTAAATTAAAAAAAATCGGATTTTCTGACCATTTAATATTTTTCTTCATTTCCTATTTAACAGATAGAAAGCTATATGTTTCTTACAATGAGTTTTGTTCTAAACCGTTTACTCCAACATCAGGTGTTTCACAAGGATCCAATCTAGGACCACTACTTTTTCTTATCTTCATCAACGACCTACCAGACATTTTAACAGCTTACAATTTACTATTTGCTGATGATCTGAAACTCTACTTAGAAATCAAAACTGTTGATGATTGCATTAAACTGCAAAATAATTTGAATAATCTATATAATTGGTGTATCATAAATAACCTTCATTTAAATATCAATAAATGCAAGAGTATGATATATACAAAGAAAAAGCATAGTATATTGTATAATAATGAAATCAACAATAGGCGTTTAGAACAAGTTACAGAATTTAAAGATCTGGGAGTAAGGTTTGATACGAAGCTGAATTTTATAAATTATATCAACGCGGTAGTAAACTCATCTTTTAGAATGTTGGGTTTTCTCATTAGAAATACCAAGCAACTTATAAATGAAAGCTCATTAAAAATGCTGTATTTTGCATTAATAAGGTCAAAGATGGAATATGCTTCCATAATCTGGTATCCAATCTATCTAGTCCATATAAGTTATATGATATAACAAGCATTGAAACTGTACAACGCAAATTTTTAAAGCTCTTACATCTTAGAATATATAATGAATATCCAACTCAGGGATTTGACCATGATTTGCTACTATCGACATTTGAATTTAAATCTCTAGAAAAGAGAAGGGTTATTGCATCCATTTCATTTTTGTTTAGGTTGCTTAATTCTCAAATTAGTTGTAGTGATTTGCTTTCTCAGATTAACTTTTCGGTGCCAAGATTGACTAGCAGAAATAAAATTACTTTTCTTCTAAGCTTTAATAGAACTAATTTGGGACTTAAGTCGCCCTTATTTGTGATGTGCAGTAACTTTAATAAATTCTGTGAGTCTTGTGATATAAACTTTAATACGCTTAGCCATATAATTAAATATGTTAATTAGCATCTTTAAATGTTGCACACATAATCTGTTGTTTAGGTTTATCTATATATTTTTTTTATAATTTGAATACTATATAGTACGCATGTATCCTATTTAAATGTCCTGTAATGGTTTAAACTGTTGGGCAATAAATAAGTTATTATTATTATTATTATTATATTTTCTAGAAGCTTATATATTTTGAATTTAAATAGTTTTAAAATGAGTATTTTTACAGATTAACCCTCAACACACAGTCCCAGTCCTAGATGATGATGGTTTTATCTTGGTAGACAGTCATGCTATAAATGTTTATTTAGCTGAAAAATACGGAAAAAACAGCACTTTATATCCAAATGACATCAAAGAACGTGCAATTGTAAACCACAGACTTCATTTCGACAATGGAACCCTTTTTGTTAGAATGGCAAACATCGTAGTAAGCACCTATTTTTTATTTTAAATTTGTTATTAGCAGCAAGTACACAATACGTATCTACGCCGGTAAATGCAACATAGGTACCTTGCTAGTTCTATAACTGCTCAGGACCTGAACTTCAGGGGATTCATATAGAAAGTACCTATACACTTTTGAGTCGAAAAACAAGACCATTTTTAGAAATTTTAAATAAAGAAACCATTAATAAAACTTATTTAAGGAAAAAAGTTTGATAATTTTTGAAGGAACTAGAACTTTCATCATTCTTTGGCTATATATAGCCAAAGAGTGACGAAAATTCCAGATCCTTTAGAAATTACAAACTTTAAAGATGTAAAGATGTAAAACTAATATGTAATTTTAGAGAGGAGTTCTTTACAACAACGAAAAAACCATCCCCAAAGAAAAAATCGATGCCGTATTGGAAGCCTACAAAATCTTGGAAGCCTTCTTGCAAAGTTATCCCTGGATGGCGGGTCAACAGATGACGGTCGCAGATTTGGCCATTGTTAGCACCGTGACAAGTGTGAATGTATTTGTTCCCATAAATGAAGAATATCCAAAACTTGCCTCATGGTTGAAAAAAATGGAAGCCTTGCCTTACTACTCCGCCAACAAGGAGGGGCTTGAAATGTTTACTTGCATCATGAAATCTAAGATGGGAAATTAACTACACATTTTTTTTGTTTTGTTTATTTAGCTTTGGTTTTTAATAAAAAACTTTTATACTATAACAATTATTGTGTTACTTGATAATTACTTTGCAAACCCACATTAGTACCCGTAAGCAGTGCCGGTTTAACAGGGGTTTTTTGGGGACTATAGCACCGGGCGGTAAATATTTTTGGGGCGGTAAATATTTTTGGGGCCCATAATTAAAAAAAAAAATATTGCGACACTGCGTCGGCGGATACAACGGATACAAATGAGAAAAATGTTGTTAGAGTTGAAGCAGCTTCTCCATCAGAAAAACTTGATTTATTGCATGGAAACGAAATAATTTTAACTTTTTGGATAGACGTTTTGCAAAGGGTTAATGAAACCAATAAAGCAGTCCAAAAACAAAATATGGATTTAAGCACAAATGCTCATCTTTTGTCATTTTTAGTTGAGAACTTTGATTTTTTACGTGATCATTTTGATCATTACGAGGAAATAAACAGGAAACGAAAATTATGCTCAGAAGCGGATAATCATAAGAAAATTACAATTTGAAGAAAATAATTCAGAGGCAAATTTAAGCAAAAAAGAAACAATGCGAACAATATGTTTTATTTTATTAATTGACAATCTATAATCCGAAATCATTTGTCGATATGATAGCTAGAAATCTGGCACAAACAAATTTGAATTTTTGTTTAATCTAAAAGCATAAATCTTCATGGAGGATTTGGATGAGTTTTTTCCTCAAAAATGTGTCCAACTCAAGAAACTGGTAACTTCCCTTTCGGAAATAAAAATAGAAACTTCATTGGAGTTAGTATAAGTTTTATACGAAAATAAATTAATATCTTCATTTCCGAATATTAATATTTGTCTGCGAATTTTTTTTTATAATGGTTTCAAATGCAAGTGGTGAACGATCTTTCTCTACTCTAAAAAGGGTAAAGAACTACCTAAGAAATACAATTCCCCAAGAAAGATTTAACTCCTTAGCAATTTTGTCCATTTATCAAGACCTGCTAGATGAAATAAATGTAAAGTGTTATAAAACAATTTGCTACTAGAAAGACTTGAAAACAACCTTTTAATTATTAGTATTAGGATTTCTCAATATTTATTTAAACCAAAGAATAATGTTTTATTTATTTATAACTTTTGATTAGTTTTCATTAGTTTAATGAAACAAAATATTAAACTTTTATTTTTTAATTAGTTTTTCTTATAGTTTTACTATAGTACTTAGTATTGTTTATATAAACCAAAGAATGTTTTAATTTTTAGTTAGTGCTTTTGATTAGTTTTTATAATTTGTTTATAAAGGCTCATTTTATATTTTATAGGATACTAAGTTTACTGTTAGATACCAGCCTAACCAACCTAATCTTCCACTTGACGTGAGAAAGTAAGACTTAAAAATTTAAAAATGTTTTTAAAAAAGTAATATTTTAAAGCATTGGGCGTTGTGTTTGTGCCAGAACCGGGCGGCGAACTAACTTAAACCGGCACTGCCCGTAAGTAGTACAGTAGTTAGTATAAACAGAGATTGGTACCCTGATAGCAAAATTTGATTTTAAGAATCTTCTAAGAAGATATGACCCGAAATAATGGTATATTCTTAGAACCTTCCCTTATTGCTAAGAATGTTCTTAGGAACTTTTAAAACATTCAATAGATTAGAATAGATTTTAATGATGCAATTAGATTCTTAAATGCTTCTTAAAACCTTCCTAAAAAGCACCCTAAGAACATTTTAAGAATACGTTTATGGAATGTTTAAAAGGTTTCTTATGGAGCTTCTAGGAAGCTTTTGAGAATATTCCCAAATATGTCAGATACCCACGTTCTAATATGTTGTATTCTACATTCGTAAAAATTCTTCAGGAGATGACAAATACGCCTCACTGTTATAATATGACAGTGAAATGCATTTGTCGTCCCCTTAAAAAAATTTGCCACATATTTATTTAAAAATATTAAATAAACAATTTGACCTCTAAACCATAAGTTTGTTTTTGTATGACATTATTTCATAAAAAGTAAAATTGGAACATTTTGAGGGATAAGTCAAATTAGATTGAAGTTGAAGATAGTTAGGATTATTATACATAAAAATGTTAATTCGGAAATAAAAAATCGATATACAAATTAATAAATACCTATAGTAAAAGTATTTTTGTTATCTAAAATTGTTTTAATTTGACAAAATATTTTGGATTGTGTTTTTTACTTAATGTAATGTATTTAATACTAATTAATTAATACGTAGTTTATGGTATATTTTACTAAATATGCTTAACAGGAATATTCCTAAATGAACTTTCTATAGCAATTCCTTTCTTAACATTCTAAGCATATGTTTAAAGTAGACTAATTTTTACCTCAAAAACTTTGCACCTTCTAAGAACCTGCCTATAGGCCAGTGAGAATATTCTTAGGATCATGCTATATTTCTTTTAAGCATGTTCTTTAGAAGAAATATACCATGATCCTAAGAATATTCTCACTTGAAGGTTTAAAAAACATTCTTAGAATAAAGTGTGCTATCAGGGTATAAGTCCCTACGTACAAAAAATAGCTAAAGGAGAAATCATAACACCTTGTAAAATTTTAAAAAATAAATTAAAATATAATCAATAATCTAATATGTAACAACATACTGGATTTAATTATGAAACAAACATGCCCTAATTTGAAAAATTTGTCTAAAAAGTTCATAAAATCACATAGGCTAGCCACAGCTGTGAAAAACAATTACAGAATCAATAGAAATGTCAAATTGTGGTGACATTCGCTAAAGAAGTATCGCTAGTAGCGCCACCAGGTGGCCGTCATCAACGTAAAAAAGCTGTCAAACGCGTATGTTACAAACGAGTGTTTTTGAGGAAAATGCCGAAAGATGTTAAAAATATCGAGAAAAAAAGTTTGGAACGATCAACATTTATATTGCATCACCCAAAATTCAAACGATACTACTGACTAAATAATAATTTTACTTTAACCGAAAGTATCCCAAGAATATTAATTGACAATGTTTTTTGTTCTTTTTTAACCACAGTTTGAACTAAAAGTATAAAAATAAAATATACAGTTCTAAATTAAGAAATACAGGGTGATGCAGTATAAAAGTTGATGAGTGTATTTTCCGAATCAATTATTCGATTTTGATGCTCTTTTTTTGGATTGTGTAGCGACTCTTAGAAAATTTTATTATGACTGTAGTTCTTTTATAAATCTTTGTTTCGTTTATATACGGGGTGTTATATTGATACTTGATTTTTTCAAAAATTTTGAAACACCCTTTGGATAAAAGTAGCAGTAATAGCAAATCGAGAAAATAATTAAACTATAGTTTATATATAGCCCTTTCTATCCTTACTATTCTCTTTTTTATTCACCTTTTTATCTCTTTTTATTTTTTATGTGGCATAACACACTATAGGAATTACACTGGGCGTCATTTTTAAAAAATATGGCGTTAACCAAAGGAGAATTAAAGAATACATTTGGCACTTCAATGGTTTTTTAAAGTCATAATAACTTGATACTGAAAATTGCCATATATGAATCTTTTATGGTAAAATATACAAATATTAGACTGAAAAGGGCCATTGCAAGTTGCAATTTGCAACAGCCTTTTATCAAAATTAATATTTTTATTAAAACATGCCTGTAAGGGCCCAGTACAAAAAAAGCTTTGGCTGAAAATGCCATTATTAAGCCATGAAACTATATATTGGGCCAATACATAATCAGACTTATGTGTTTGCTGGGAACATTCAGAGATAGCAATAATGAGACACGAAATTTTCACCTTCTAAAGATACTAATAGGACTAAACTATTGATTTGTAATAAAAATTTCTTTGGAACAAATTTTGTTAATAAAAATCATTGAAAGCGTTAAGCTTCGTACAGACCTGAACATTGAGCCGAACAACAAGCAGAACAACGAACCGAACGGCAAACAGAACGGCAAATGGCCTTTTTTTATTTCGACGATCGGAACAACAAACGGAACGTTCGTGCTGTTCCCATAATTGCTCGTAGTAAATCTCAGTTAAAGTTTTACTAAAGATGGAAAAAAGTGTAGCAGCAGCAGCTTATATATATATATATACATATATTCATTATTCATTATTAAATCAAAAGAAAAAATCGCGAAAAACAAGAAGATGGTGGCAAACCCATTTTTATACACAAAGAAGTACGACAAATTTCAATTTACTTGTGTTGAATTTTAATTATATTAAAATAAACAAACTCACTTAAAGGAGGAGACAAATAAACACTTAAATGAGAACAATTCACTGGTCTGTTCGCCGTTTTGTTTTGACCCGTCCAAACCTCCGAACGCATTCGCGAACATTTCCTTTGATGTCGAAGGAAAAACCGACAAGTGATGGGAACGGGGCGAACCGTTCGCCGAACGGTCAGGATTTGCGAACATGTTCGCAAACGCGTTCGCAGCCCCGTCCAAATTAGTGTTCTGTTTGCCGTTCGGTTCGTTGTTCGGCTTGTTGTTCGGCTCAATGCTCAAGTCTGTACGAGGCTTTATAATATGCCACCAAAATTAATCCCACCCAGTTCACCATTGAGGTCTGTTTTACTGACAGCTAAAGCTTTAAACTTGGATTTGGATTTAATAAATGTCAATTTATTAAACACTTAAAACCAAGAAGTAAGTTTAGAAGTGTTTTATCACAATTTAAATTAAATAATAATTTTAAATATTCTAAAAATAATAACTAGGTACCTTTATGTATTTATTTATTTAATATCTGCTTATGTAAGTAATATATTTACTGTAAAAACTCAAAGGTCTTCGGTCGAAAGTACATGCAATAAATAATAACATTATAATTATAATTTTAATTTATACCAGTGGCGGACTAAGATTGTCGGGGGCCTAGTTTTTTTAGAGTCAGTTTCACTCTAAGAAAGATTTTTATTGTTTCAAAAAATTTCTATTTAATTTGTTACTAGATCCTTCGCAACCTCACCCAAATTGGTGTCTTAAGACCCTAAATAACATAAGTATTTTTATATACTGCATCCGAATTCGACCTTAGAAATGC